AATTTTATAATAATTAATATTTGAATAAATAAATGTCCATCGGGAGTGTCGAAACACAAAGTATCGTGCGATTGTCAAATCTTAAATATTCGTTGACTTCGTGATTATCGTGAGTGATATGTAGTATAACTGAGACTCAATCGACTGCTTCAGTTACTTGTACGATGGATCATCGATCATTGATAATCAAAACTTTGGACAGGAAGGTGGATGGAGCAGAGGACGAGGAGAAACATCGGGACAGCGACTGGTGAGTCTATAATTATAATTATAATTAATTACATCACTTAATTTACATGTGACAAGCAGATGCGATTGTTTAATAATAAATTTATTTCTTTTACGAATACGCATATATATTGAAAAATAATTATTAATAATATAATAAAAGATTATGTAAAAAATATTTTACTACATTATTTTTACTACAAAAATTATATTACTACATTAAAGTGAGATGTATCCTTCATACATATTTTTCTACCATTATTGCATTATGTTATTTACCTAGTAATGATTAATACAGAAATAATCATCCGATATACCAACGCATGAAATTTTATATTGTGCAAAAAAATGCACAGAATTAATTTTTATATCTTATAAAATGCAGATTAAAAAATAAAATTGTTATATGTTAAATGCTGACATTAATAATCAACCAAATAGTAATGTAATTACATTACATTAATGTAGATATTAATTTACCAATGTTCTACATGTAGCGTATAAATTAGGAATATTTAATTTTTTAATAAAAATTTAAAAAAATGGATTTTTCTCAGAATTGCTTTTTTTTTGGGAGCGACTTATTTATAAGATGCAAAGATGCATCTCTTTCACTTTTCTTGAGCATTACTGAATGAGCAATACATAAAATGTGCACAATTTTAATCAGCTGTTTACCCCTCGTCACGTGCTCTTTACGCGATCAGAGAGAAATGCGGATAATTAAATTCTTTCATCGCAGAAAATAAGCACTAGTGCCAAAAAGCGAAGAAAAAAAGTATCATATGCGAGTCTCTAATATTGCCGAATGCCAACGCGAAATGGGATTTATATGCGCGTAATAAAATTTTGCTCGAATCTTTCTGGCGCGCATGTATGTACGCGCGGGAATTCTAGAGAAATTTCAACGATAGATTAAACGCGAACGAACACGAGATTCATAAAGAATATTTGAGATACGCGTATATTTCTACACCGCGTATATTTTTGGTAAGATACGAGAAGAAGTTTTTCGCAGTGAGCTCAACACAATAAATACATTAATATGAAAATTTTAATGAATGTTTGCGAGAGTCTGCTAGATCGATAAATATAAATTTAATAATCGCGTGTATGACAATCGGTACACATTCGTTTATAACATGCGCGTTTTATAACGAGAACAAAAATGTCATATTTTAACTATCCAATACATGTGTAAATATTTATAATCTACACACTTGTATAGCCGAATTAACGAGGATAAGAATAAACACGCGGCAATCTATTTCGACGCTCGAACGAGACCCTTAATGAAGATATAATCGTGATAGTTATTAGATAGGCTTGCGTGCGCTTCGTTATTAGATCGAAGTTTGGCAGACCGAGGAGTTAACTAGATTCTGATGAACCCGTAGAGCGCACGAGTTTCGATACGCACGCGTCGTACATAGATACGTTTCCCTTTGTTACGCTACCGAGACTATAGACAAGGCTTGTATCTCGCTGATGAGGCACGAAAATCTTTAGCCTGGCGTGAAAATGATTTCTATCACGCATATCCAGCCCGTTTTAATCCAACGCGAAGCTCGTGCAACGACCGATAATTGACGACCATCGTGCATGAAGACGTTGCGCAATGCAAGGAACAGATTCGGAATGCTGTAATTTTGCGTGCCGTATCGTGCGCGTTATTACCGTTTCAGATTCTCAATTTAGATGAAAGATTTCGTCCCTTTAATAGCATAGCGAATATTTTTAATATTATTGTCTTACTAATAATTGTCTCGATAATATTTCTCCTATCGTTTTTTGTAAAAAAAAAAAAAAAACGTTTGAGTCTGCAAGGAATATTTAATTGTTGTCTGAGAGTCACGTGATAAACATTGATATCAATCAGATTAATATACTAAAATATTCTACTAAAATACAAAAAATGCAACCCACTTGATTATCTCTAATTGCACCATTTGATTTCTATAATCCGCTGACATTTTCAATATTATATCAATGACGCGCGATTAAACTTAAATCTTGAAATCTTGCGTATACTATCTAATCTCAAAATTCTTGTGACATATATTATCGTTATTACCGTAGTATGCTGGAAATGCTAGAGAGAATGCTTTGAAGCGTTGGATGCATCGTGCTCTGAATATTGCAACCGCATATATTGGATTGCACGTATATAATGTCAATTAGGGTAGCATAATATATTTTTACGATAGAGAGGATCGTCCTGTATGCAGTTTCTAATCCACCTCTCTCTCCTCGCTCCGTCCCGACCCGAGGTCGAGATCGGAGTGTCGTCGGGAAGAGGCATCGGGTCATACGTAGGGTCGGATGGACGAGGGCTTCGTGATGCTTCGGGTCCATTCGGCTCCGCGAACGGAGCCGCCGAAGTCTTCCGAGCGAAGTTCGCCGCAGTTACTCGTGGCGTTCGGTACCGCGCGTCAGTCCTCCAGCGGACGCGATCGCGCGCGCACGTGTCATATCGTCTGGCTTTTTTATCCGTCGCCCGGTGGTTTTTATCGTGTCGCGGAACGCGAGAGAGACAAAACCGTAACCGCAACAACGATCGCTACAATTACGAGTGTTAGTATTGTTTTTGTCAAAGTGCAGTGCGTGTTGAGTGCGGGAATAGTAGTGAGTCCCCGCGAGATCGACGAAGATCGTTTGTGGAAAGATCGAGCGCACGATCAACGCCGGTCAACGAGAGAGTCGCTCCGCGACATTCCGTGCATTCCCGACATTCCTCGCGAGCGCGCGCAACGTGTTCCGAAGTGCGAGAACACTCTGTTGAATTTCTCTGAGCCCTATTATTACCGGCGAGAATCTACCTTATGATCTTTGTGTCGCGCGTCTTTCGGTGAGAAATAATCGGCGGACGAGTGATCATTAGTAGTGCGATTTCGCGACGGGCAAAATTTCGTTTCTCTCGTCGTTAGCATTTATTATCGCGAAGCACGAATAAAGTCGAGTTGACGTCGAAACGGAAACAGAATTTGCTAACCCAAGAAAAGATCTTTCACATCGGATCATCGATACCGTATAATATACGACGTTATTCTCGTTATCTCGCACACACATCTGCGTGAAGTTAACGCCGACGAATTACGTACAGATGAAGGAGTGACGTAACAGTGTATGCCGGCCAGTTGTTAAATTTTTTTATCCCCACCGTCTTCATTCGTAATATCATTTCAATCTAGTTCGGTCGATCGTCCACCGGAATGTGAATCAGCACGATATATCTCAATATCGATTATCGGCAATTATCCCTATTAATTCGGCGCTCGGCCGCATTTCCTCGAGCAACACTACAATCGCACACTAACGTGTTCCAGTTTCGACGCTGACGCGGCGCCGAATTGTCGACCATCAAGATCGAGGACGTGCAAGCGGCACCTCGACTTTTGCCGGCTCGCGTCGGGACATGCAACAGCTTCGTGCGACCTTTTGAAACGCAATCTGCACGATCGTGCCGTCTATCGACGATCGAAGCTTACCGCACGCTAAACCTTCGAAGATTTGCTCGTCGACGATATCCCGTCGCGAAGAAAAAAAAAAAAACACGAAAAAGACGAGGCTCCACGCGACACGCTCACGCGGATAAAGATAATAATAACTCGCGACAAAGAGAGAGACCGGACGCGCGGACAGACGGAAAGGTCGCTGATCCTCGATCCCGTGTCATATTATACGTACATATTTGAACGCAATCAGCAATCACTCGCGATAATCGCTGCCCGTTTCAGCGAAACGAACAGGACAGGATTATTCGCGTGGATTAATATACCAACGACTGCATACTATATTATGCGATTGATTGTGTGAAATCGTGAAATTATCGAGTCAAATTATCTGGACATCTTACCGAACACTGCCATCATCGTTCTGTGATAAAACCTGTGATATCCTGAGACTTCGTTGGGATTTACGGGGAAAAAAAATCTTCATTTCTTCGAAAATTAGTATGTATTGAGATCTTATCTCACATGTATTCTGTCATGATAAAGTGAAATCGTGAAATTATCGAGTCAAATTATCTGGACATCTTACCGAACACTGCCATCATCGTTCTGTGATAAAACCTGTGATATCCTGAGACTTCGTTGGGATTTACGGGGGAAAAAAATCTTCATTTCTTCGAAAGTAGTATGTATTGAGATCTTATCTCACATGTATTCTGTCATGATAAGATAAAATGCGGTTGATCTCGTAAGTTCGAATTTCGCACACGTTTTCTGCTATTTCTATCACGTTTTAATATAAACTGACAGTTAAATATTATTATTATGTCACTTAGAAATTCTTATAAATTAAGGTGACATTTTAATATCGCAACATGTATTATTAGAGTCTTCTGGATTTTTAATATATACACTCTGGCATTTTATCTTAACATGATTACATTGTCTGCAGTTCGGTCGTTATCAAAATCATCGAACGAATAGTTCCTCGAAAATCTCGAAATATTTTTCCGGTTGCGAATAGGGGTAAATTCGTGCGAGGTTGATCCATCGTTGATTGATTCGCGAGTACGCATTGATTCGGAAAAGGACGTAAATGAGATATCCGTTTTTTCGGTTCAATGAAGATGTAGCTTAAAAAAACGAACAAGCGTGGCAATTTCCCGACCGTGTCCACTGGCAAAACTCAATCTTTGATACTCGACTGTCCTCTATACGGTGACTTTCCGTCAGGTTATTAAAACTTAATTCGATCATGTATGCCGCAGAAAAGAATCATGAACCGACGAACAAAATATCGTGTTGGTTGATTCTTTTTGTGCAGAGTCTGATCTAATTCCTTTCGTTTGTCAGCACTATGAGAAATTTGAGTTCAAAAATTTTTGTGTGTGTGTTTTTTTTTAAGCGAGAGATCGAAAGTAAAAACACGAAAAAAATAATATTTCTTTTTTGGAGCGTTAAACCGTATTTTAATTATACACAAATTAAAGAATTTTGCCGAATCAAATTTTAGGAGTACACATGTAAATAAAATAAAAGTTTACATCTCGTTTAATTCTCGTCTATTTTTCGATGGATTTTTATCCTAGCAACGTATTAATTGGTTTCGGGAATAAACAAGAATTCTAGAAATAGTGTTGAATTAAATTTTTGCTGTTGTACCAATTTTTCTTATTTTTCACCGCTCCAAAATTGTGAAACAAAGTGCACACGAGTTCTCTGTGTGTATGATATAAACTTCTGATAACATAAGCGTTAATATTACATAAGCGAAGTTGATTCTAGGGAAGCGTGTGTTATTTGCCTAACAACTGTATAATTCTCACGAGATTCTCATCGAAAGTCCCGTTCATAATTTTTTTATGGGGAATTTTAGTATAATCAAGAGGGTGCCGGTTAAAGCCGACGACCCCGAAGAAGATTGACCAAGGTTGTTCAGATCTATTTATAGCACGGTAGTAACCAGGTACTTATTTGCGGGGAACTGTATTTTCAGATGTTGAATTCGCGTTGAAAAGTGTATATTCAAGAAATTATTCTTCATTTTCAAAATATTCGCATGTGTTTTTTATACTTGTATCCGCAATATTACATTATTACATTGCGGAAAAGGCAAACTCATATTTACAAGTTTGTTTCAATAAAATGAATTTTATCAATTGATATTAAACATAGATTTTTTTTTCTTTTTAATGTTTTTGCGCGGAGATAATTAAATATACTTATATAATTAAACATACTTAGTAAATTATCATTTTTTAATTTATTTTAATTTATATTATCAGTATCGTCGTGTATAACAAGAATTAAATTAGAGTTTGAAGTATTTATAATTTGATAAAGATAAAAGAGTAAATGTGATTTGTGGAAGCAATATATTTTTTTACTACTACTATGATATAGAGGTTGATCATTTTGATGTCTTTTATTTGTTTGCCGGCAGTGATAATTATCGAGATATTTATCATAATCGCGAACATAATTTCCCAGAATTTCAATGGTTTCGATAAATATTAATTAAATTGAATGCCAATTTATTTATTTAATTTCGTTCATATTACATCCTTTTTTCTTATGTTCGCAATTGCGAATTATAATTAATATTAAAACGAATTGTAATTAATAATTTTACGAATAAATTACTCCAACATTACTCATATTCATGCGCATATTTTGTGATTATCTTTCATAATGTATAGTAGATTGCGAGACAATCTATTACAATACTTCTGTCCTCTTTCGATTTTATCGATCCTATCATGCTTTCGTATACATTGATTCGTGAAGATATTATCTTTGCCCGTGACGCATAACATTTTTAGTCAACTCGAAAATCTCCGAGAGAATATATATACATATATCGGACTGTGTAATTTGAAAGGCAAACTAGTTGATTCTTATTTCATTCCGCGAACTTTCAATGTTTACGTGATACGTGTTTCGTCGCGAAAAACGCGTGTCGCTCGTATGTGTTTATTAAAAACTCCTCGCGCGATCGTAATTCGGCATTTATATAGATCGTTTCTCCAGTTAGTCGTCTCTATTCACGACGGAAAATGCGAGAAGAGAACCAGGATACGTGTATACTTGCGCGTGACGAAAATATGAAAGTCTAATGCGCGAATCGATTTCGTAAAAAACCTTTCATCGAATTCGCCTGCGGAAAAAAAAAGCATGAAGTTGCAGCGGCAAAATTGGACGGAAGGGAAAATATCGTAAATCTAACGGTCGGTTTTCTCGTGACGGGAAAAAGAAAAATGTCACGCGCTAAATGGCGACCCCGAAGCGACACGATTCCGTCGTGCATATTTCGTGCTCATACGATTTCACGAACCGGCAGATAGTCGGCGGTGTATAGTAAAACGGTGCGGGAATGATATAAAAGCCGCTTTGCATTATGCGGGGCAGACAACAGGACCCGGGTGCATTTAAAAGTGTATATACATTGAAAAAGTTTCCGTTGCGGTGAGTCGGTCCGAAAATTTAAATTGCGCTTTTGTAAAACGTGGCGCGCCTTTACATACTAGTCGCTTCTCTGATTCTCTCTCTCTCTGTTTTTTCCTCTCTATCCCTCTCTATCTCTTCGTGTAGGCTGACATGCATTATGCAAGGAGTTACCTCGATAGCTGCAATCAAGGAAGAGAAATGCGCGACGGTTGGCCGTTTTGGGAAAGCGAGTAAACTGCCGCGTAAGAGAATAAAGAGAGAGTAAAAGCGTCGCGATGAAAATCCAAGCCGCGCCCAGGGCGTTGCGGTGGTGAAATGTCACGACGCGTCAGGTCGGACCGGGCCGGGTTGGGTCTCGGGTCGCCTTGCGGGCGATGCATTAGCACGGCTGAAAAAATAATGGGCAGGCCCGTGAGGTGCTTGAGGACGAGTTATAACGTGAATAAAATGTCTTAGCTGTGAAAAACTTTTTATACTTGCAATCTCATCGCTACTCGTTCGCGTAAACCAATGAAGGGTTTATGAGAGTGGCGAGTTTTTTTTTATCGTGACGGGGCTTAAATTTGCTGACCTGCAGGTTGCTCGGAAAATGTAATTTGAGACAATTTAGATCACACATGTGAAAAAGTATGTAAAATTATACGAACAAGAGTAATTTTCTGTAATATTTTTTTTGATTTTTTTTTTTACAGTGCAATGAAAATATGCTTATGCCTGTTCTTTCCGAAAAAGTTTGCTTTTTATTATCCTACGCTAAATTAACAAATTTGAACAAATTTGTACTGTTCTGCCTTTTTGATAAAAAAGAAAGTTCTTTATTTTAGAAAAATTTGTATTATATAAAATCAGCTGATGTCACTGGATCGCCACGGACTATTATCGCGCAATCATCAACAACAGAATTATCGTTTTATTTGACTATTATCTCCGACAATCACGCTAAATGGCGATACAGCGTAAGCTATTGGCATGCGAAAGGTCAATGCGGATCATCACGTAATATATTCCGCTACCTCACGTCTCGAATGCGCGGGTTGATTTTGCGCGTTCGCCGTCGTCGCGTCGTTCAAATCCCGTGCGTTGTTTGCACAGCCGATTCACGTTCGCAACTGTCATTTGCGAACTCGACAGTGTACGTGTCGTACAAACGCAAAGTATTTGTACCACGCGACTGTGAATCGAGCCATAGATAAGGCTTCCTCTCGATGCTTCAATAATATATGAGAGATAAGCCGTGAAAAGTAACGTTAATGTTAGACGACAGACTTATATATGCTTTGTTTTCTCACGACATTCGAACATATCAAAACGTAAAAAAAAAAAAAAAGATAGATTGCGACGCGCTATCTATTCTGTTAGATTCTCCAGGGATAAAATTTAAATGGCTGCGCGAGAAATCTTTATCGACACAATATACATGTGTTTATAACACATTTGAGAGAGTCCAGTCTATTCTTATAGCATCGGAGAATTACAATGTCAGTGTGTGATTTTGCAATTTCTCTACGTCTTTACTACCGGTGCCCTGAGATCTTTACATTCTGCGCGCACGTGCCGAATACTATCACCGAGAAAATCGCAGAATGCAAACGGTCGGAAATTGCGCGACTGTCGTCGACGGTGATCCGAACTTGTTCTCCACCTGATACCCCGCACGTGTAACATAAAACGATACGACGCGACGGTGATATGCATCGCGCTCGCTCGGTCAGCGAGACGGGCGCACGACTTGAATGATCTGTTTAGAAGCGAATCGCCATTCATGTCGTCGTATAGCGGGCTACATGCGTACTATCTGAGAAACGTAAAGGTGGATTGTAAATAGATCTAGTCTTTACCTTGATCGTACTACGCGGACACTGCGTCTCTGGCATGCTACGTGCTTTTTGTATGCTCGCAAGCAAAAAAACGTATCATTTCTCATACTCTAAAAAACGAAGAAATATATTTTACTAATATAATATACAACGAAAAGATATTTATTCGAAAATAACAGAATATCTTTTTCCGTTAAATTAATTAGAATTGATTCTGCTCATTTTGTTCCGCTAACT